TAATATATTATGTAATTATTAAATATTTAATATATTATATATATTTAATATATTTAATATTTTATATTATATAACATTATATTTAATATATTATATTATATTAGAATATTTTTCTTAAGAAATATTCATGATTTTCTAATGAAATGATATTTTTTAGAACATAAAGAAATACTTTGCATAAATTAAGTGAATTGTTTTATTTTGATGTTCCATGTGTTGATGAGTTACAGAAATTTAATACTGAATTTTAAGTTTTATAATTTTAGGGTTAAAGGGTTAAAGGGAAGTTTCTCTAGAAATATTTAATATTTTTTGACGAGGCGAAGACGTTCTTTGAAACTAACTTAAAGGGAAATCAGAAGTACCTTGAAAAGCTATTTTCAACATTAACCCTTTGATTCAGCCATTCGATTCAACATAGCAAAATGATAAAATTGACAATTCAACATGGAAAGATGAACAAGGTGGCACGTGAAACAGAAGTGAAACAATTCTGCCCCGAATTTAGGCGAGATGTTTCTTTACGTAAGTTCCAAATAATATTGTTAACATTCCTTCAGAAAATAATGCACGTTTATACTAGAAAATATTGTCTACTGCGAAGGATTGAATATCGGATTTTATAGTTTTACTATAACTAAATAAGTCTATAACTTATTCAGAAATAAGTTGTCTCTTTCAACCCTTCGCACTCGACAATATTTTTCCTTACATTCATTATTTCCTGACGAAATATTACCAATATTATTTGCAACTTACATAAATTATGGGGCAGAGTTGTTTCATTTCTATGTTCCATGTTTTAATACCTTATTTAATATTCTATCTTGAATTTTTCATTTTATAATTTTGCTGTGTTTAATCAAACAGACAATTAAAAAACAATTTCTGAATCTAAGTTTCTGATTCACTCGCCTCTCGAACATACAAACAAAAGGTACCTGAAAAGGAATGAAGTCCTCGGGAAAATTCCATTAATTCATAAGAATTGTTTATTAACCGTTTGAGTGCAAAATTCCGTTTATCAGTATCAATTATAATTTTCTTGCTATATTCTTCAAGAAATAAATCAAAGTAAATTTATTTGAATAAATGTTTTGATATTTTTTTGTAATAACACAATATTTGTGATCTCATTAGATAACTTATATTAATTTTCGCATACACACCCAATCACTTCATTTTTGCTAAATATCCACAAAAGTTGTTTAGCATCCAAACGGTTAATTCCTAAGAATTATCCCTTTGCACTCGACAATATTTTCCATTAAAAATATTCATTACTTTCCGATTGAATATTAACGATATTTTTCGCAACTAATACAATTATCTTCTATAAATTAAGAGACAGAACTATTCTACTTTGATGTTTTATGTGTTGACACATTCCACAAGGTTTAATATTGAATTGAAAATTTTATAAGTTTGCTGCGTCGAATCAGTGCGAAGGGTTATTATCGAGTACGAAGAATTTGTTATAATTCATTCGTGAATCAATTAGCAAGAGTGTCAGCGAGTAAGGTCTCCTCGTATCACTCGAATTCGTTAGGTGAGAGAAGTAACATTAGTCTCGTTGTTTCTGTGTTTAGGAACTTTGTACGGTGTGACTCTGATAACACCGTCGAAGGTGGGGAAAAAAATCGGGTTGTTCGTTTCGCGATCCATATTAAATGGTGTTCTTCTCGTCCTCGAGCAAAACAACAACAAAAAAAAAGGGTTTCGTTGAACAAGGAAATTCACACGAAGGTCGTCCGTGCCAAAAGACATTCCGTTGTCCGTTGTATTTATGGAGTTTACTTAGACTTAAGCTTGTTGTTAAGTGATGATCGATTTTCAAAACACCCACCCCGCCGCATTGAACACACACACACGTCCCCTGGGTATACTCGAGGGGGAAGAATTAGCAAGAGAGAAAAAAAAACGACCACGACAGAAAGAGGAGAGGTATTAACCCTTTGCGTTCGGCGCCGACAATATGGCGGCACGTTCTTTGGTACAATATAATTTCACGATCGAAAGCTTATTTATTATTCTCCACGGAATTGATACTCAACGAAATACATTAAAACAAATTTCTATTATAAACCATCGATAAAAAATATAATATATTCGACTTGCCGATCGCAAAGGGTTGAGATGAGAGAGCATGCTTGCCGCACCTCGCCGCGCTTCCTGTGGAAAATCGATGTGTTAAAGGCAGAAGCCTTTTAAAGATTTTAGGAAACTTTGAAATGCGAACGCGTCGAAGGCTGCGAGAGGAGAGACGAGGAAAGGGAAAGAGAGGAGAAACGGAGGAACGTCCTATTCGTTAGGAAATCGAGTTCGCCGAGTATATAAAGTATATAATTGTAGGAGATTTTGTAATGTTTCTTCGAACTTATCAACGAAAAGTATCATATCAGTATAATATATCGTATATCTACGCACCACCATCCATTGACTCTCAGGTGTCTCTGAAACGTGTAAAAAGAGGGGTGGGGGGGAAGGTCAAGCGAGAGCTCGATCGGCGATGGAAAAGAAGCATTTGCGCGACGTTTGGATCTACGTAGATCGTCTCCTCTGCAGCTTTCGATCGCGATCGTCCACGTAGAAACGAAGGAATCACATATCAATGGCTGCCGGCTGGCGAGCGTTCCGGGGATGGAACGCCGTACAGAACGGCGCGGAAAAGTGAACGCGCGTTGTTCGAATTAGAGAGAAACGGAGGAATGATGAGGGAGAAAACGACAGTAACTTAGCGGAGAGAGAGTACGAGTAATCGAATGACGACCGAATTTATTGTTGCGACGGCTCGTTCATTATTATCCACTCAGAAGAAAAGGGAGATCGTTAACCAGCTGTGAATCTGTACTCGTCAAAGATAAAACTGCGAAATTATACAATCTTGATTCTTGACCACGGTTGCTCGCTTTAATACACCCACTTCCGATTTCCTGACCTGTTGAGACTCTCTGTTCCTGTTTTCTCGTGTTACTCTGTGATTTTTGTCGTGGAACCTAGTTAGAAATGATACGGAACCTCTTAGTCAAGTGTTTGTTTTGAGAATTATTAGAAAACTTGTGATTCTATGATTCAGTTAGATTTTGTTATTTCCTGTTTAACCCTTTGCGGTTCGAAGTGCTCTTGGTTTCTCACTTTGAGGTTCACGTCGACGTTAGTTCATTCAATTACAGCTTAATATGACGCTATATTTATTTATTCAAGAATATTTGGGAGTCGTTGAAATGTTACCTTTAAATGGTATAATTATGATACTACAAATAAATATAGAAAAATGGTTAAAACAGGTAGAGGTTGCAATAAAATAGAATGTAGAGTCTGACGCGACATAGGACTGCTAAGGGTTAATAGAACTAAGCAGTGACTTAAATTTCTCTAGAAATTCTAAGAATATAACTATTTAGATTGATTTGTTTCTTCGGTAGTACCTCGGATTTATGTTTGCAACAATCGCAACAGAATACCAGTGTTAATCCCTTGCCTTAATGACGTGAGACTCGTGACGAAGATTTCAAGTAGAATCGAACAAACGCAAATGTTCCTTAGTTCTTGTGAATTCAAATTAACTCTTTGCACTCAGTCACCTGATTTGATATAACAAAATTGCAAAGTGTTGTATATAATATTAACTCTTACATAATGCATCGATATGAAATATTTCTATGAAATAGCTTTGTTCCTTAATTTACGTATGTTTTATCATTATCTTCTCTTGCCAATTATTATACTTTCTTGTTTTCTTGAGAAAACCGCGAAAGGGATGAACAGCATAAAACTCTCTCTTTCGTAGTCGGACATAAGATACCAGAATGTTTTTTCAATGAATTACTCACAATAAAGTAATCGTCATAGTCAAGAAACAAATCACAGGACAAGGGGTTAATTATCCATTCACGCCACTCAACGTCTTATCACAATATCGATTACTTCTCGAGAAAACCGCGAAGGGGATGAACAGCATAAAACTCTCTTTCGTAGTCGAACATAAGATACCAGAATGTTCCTCCTTTCAATAAATTACTCATAATAAAGTAATGATCACAGTCGAGAAACAAATCACAGGACAAAGAGTTAATTATCCATTCACGCCATTCAACGTCTTATCACAATATCGATTACTCCTCGTAAAACCGCGAAAGAGATGAACAGCATAAGTCTGTTCCTTTCTCCCTGTCCCGCTGTGAAGCGAGAGAATCTCGCAACAGCAGAATCCGAGGCCTAGCGTATCCTCCTGGAGGAGTGGCAGGAAGAAAAGACAAACATCGGCGAACCAATCGACGGGAAAGGGTGGTCCGGTGGATGTTTGTCTTGTTGCCGGTCCGGGGGGTACTGGAAGCACGTAGCCCATGTACGGAGCCAATCGTCGCGAAGGATGACCGAATCGCTGCCCGCTCGAGATCACGAAGATTTCTTTCGCCTAGAAGAGAGAGGCTGCCTCTCAGTTGAGAATCAAGAATCGCGAAAGCGATAATCCTTTTTATCTCTGACTGCTTAGCCGATCCTCTAAATCTTCTCTCCAGCAAGCGAACTTGAGCATTCCTGGCTATTGGTCCTCGAAAGTTTGCTAATAAGTCGATTCGCATAGTGGCTTATGTTTAACACTATTTCTTTCGAAAAGACACCTGAAGTTTTACCTTAAAATTATTTCCGAAGTTTGATTTAACAATTGAATTTTGGATATTTCTTAATATAATCGTTGGGAAAGTCGAAGAGTCGGAAACGAGTAAACTCGGGAAAGGATTTTAAGATTAGAATTTCGAGATTAATAGAAATTGTGTTAAATTCGTCGAGCAATTTCAAATTCTTTCGGATGTTTGGTTAACCGATGAAGAGTCTTCGATGTTGGACAGTCTTAGGGGATACAATGGCGACTAGAAAAGCGTGAGTGGTGTCGGTTTGTTCAAGAGGTCAGCATGCTGCGTGGAAAGAGCAGAAGCAAAGCTGAGAACGATGAGGACGAGGACGGCCAGGCGAAACAGAGGAGGCCGAAATGCGCTCGTTGCCGCAATCATGGGATGATCTCGTGGCTCAGGGGACATAAGAGGGAATGCCGGTACCGGGACTGTCTTTGTCCGAAGTGTTCACTGATCGCTGAGAGGCAGAGAGTGATGGCAGCTCAGGTAAGCTCCATCGTTTGATTTCTCTTTGTGATAATATTTGTTGTTAGTTCATTTTGTTGGACATGTCATTCGTTTCCTTTAACGATTTAACACTAGAACTACTGTACCAGTCAAAATGACTGGTTTAGATTTTTTTGTTTAGCAATTATTGATATCTTCGAAGCATTGAATATTCGAAATGATTTTGAAAATGAATAGTTTCATTTGAGTACTATAATGACTTGTTGTTAGTTTATTTTGTTGAACGTGTCATTCATTTCCTTTAACGATTTAACACTAGAACTACTGTAACAGTCAAAATGAGTGGTTTTGATGTTGGTGTTTAGCAATTATTGATATCTTCGAAGCATTGAATATTCGAGATTTTGAAAATAAATAGCTTCATTTGAGTACTGTAATGAATGTCCGAAGAAACTGAAAATAATCTATTGTTACAATTTTTATGGGAATCGCATATTAATCGTATTAAATGCTCGGTAGTTCTAGTGTTAAGATTGGTACCTGTTTTGACCCTTTGAACTCTGTAGGCTCCAATGTTGCACCAGTTATAATATTAGATATTTTAATGAATCTTAAAGAAACTACCCTAAAATTATTGAATTTTCCACACATCCAAATTTTGCACGGGGAAGGAATGAAATTGAATTTATCCAAGGCAGTCAAAATATTAACAGTAAAACAGTTTGTTACAACAATGCTATAAAGTTGAATATTTAGTATTTTAAATGAAACTTCGTATTACTGTGTGAAATATTTCAATAAGATACCTTCATTGCTTAATTTATCAGTGTATTATCATTAAATTAGTTTCAAACAATATCATCTACATCTCATCAGAAAACGTTGAATATTCCAGTGCAAAACTTTCGAGTGTAAAGAGTTAATATTCGATACATTACAAATTAATTTAATATCAACGAAAACACGTTTCAACCGTTCGCACTCAAGAGGCGCCTTCCAGTCCTTCGATTCGACCAAACGAAACGATAAAATTTCAAATTCGACATTAAATTTTCTATAATGTACCAACACGCGGAACATCGAAAAAAAATAGTTCTATCGCTGGATTTACACAAGGTACTTCATGATGTTAAAGTGTGAACTGAACCATTTAAAATTTTATCGATGAAACCTCCCTCGCGAACAACTCCCAATTTTCTTCCAATCGGGAGAAAGGTCAATCGAGAGGATCGCCATCGACATTCAACGGGCCCGATGGTTTTCATTAACCGATGAACGTTGGAATCGCGTCGATGATTTCTCCACCCTCTCTCAGCATGACACGAGGGGATGATCCGATTTCATTCGCCGCACTTGTGCCACTCGATCTTGTTTTCTTCCGTTTCCCGCCGCCCTCCGCTTCGACGAGTCGAACGACGATCGACGAACGGGGACAGGGGAATTAAATCCATTAACGCGCGGTGTTGCGTTTCATTTCTGTTTGCGCGGGCATTATGACACACGATACCTTGTCCACGATAGCTTCCGACACGGTCGATGCAAACGCGGATGTTCCAAGCTAGAAGTGGCCTCGAACGTTGTAGCTCCTCGATTTTGAATATTTAGGCAATTTAATAGAACTACGAGTCAAAATCACCCATTCCTAATTCCTTCGTTATCATTTATTCGATAGATAATACATGATTGATTCAGCAATACGCAAACTGAATTGCAAACCAATTGAAGTCTGAATAATTGCACCATTGGGGTTTCTACAGGGAAATTTCGAAAATTGTATAAAATTAAATACTACAAAATTCGAGACTAGTATCTAGAGAAGTAACTTGCACAGTAGACACCCTTGTTCTGTGTCTCGTCGTTGCAAATGAAGTCTTCAGCGTTAGAAGACCAAACGGACGTTCGTAAGAAGACTTAAAATTTTAAGTTAACACTTAGGCAACCACTTAAAAAGAACTGTAACTAGCTCTTTCATTAGCTTCAATTGAACTCGTTCAACTGATTTGGATAACCGTTTGAGTCCGGTCTTTGCAAAAACCCGGTTGAAAAGTTCCAAGCGGCGCGATCGCACTACTTTCGTTTCTATTTTTACATGAAAAGACTGTAAATAGCGCGATCGTTCCGTTTCCCCATTTCTAAGCAGGTAATAACAAAGATAAAAATAAATAATTAAAGAAAGACGAATAGATAAAGTTCATTTGATTCTATGAACCGGTAGAATGGAACTTCTAGACTTCAGAGAACCGCCATTACGCCGCTTGGCGCTGAAACGGATAAAACCTTTGTTTTGTAAAAGCAAGAAACATATTTGATGAATTGAAAATAGCCCCACGTCAAGACTTACTAAACGGTAAAGGAAAAGATGAAGAAAATCAAAGGGAATTGCTAAGTGAACAGTAGAAGATCTTTCCCTTCGGTTGGCTGAAGTGTTAAGTTCGAGGTTCCTTCTCTTCACCGATAATCGAACCCCGATCGATCTTGTTCTATTATTCAGCCATAAAGTCTAAAAGCGGAGGGACAGGGTCACGTTGGATGATTCGCTGTTGAAGTGAAACAATTCCGTGGGTGGTCCAGCCGGGAATAACGCGAGGAGCGTGCCAAATGGTCCCATATGTATCTCTATTGACGTTCGCCGCTGAACAAACACGTATACCCAGTGTCCGCCGGGGTATATTTCTAAATCGGAACCGAAACCACGACTGACGATGATTGATCCCCTCGTGTTCAGCCGGGTTTCACTTAGAATATGATCCGAACATTAATCCTTGTTATTTATGGTCTGGCAAGGTGGCATTGAAGAGGCAGCAAGCAGCTGAAGACGCCATTGCCTTGAAAATGGCCAAGGTGGCGACTGGTCAGAAGCTTTGTAGACTGCCACCAGGGAAGATCTTTGGTATGGCTGTCACTGAACCCAGGCCGTTGACGGATGCTGAGAAAATGGACCAGCAGTCCTCGAAGGAAAGCCAACAGACTTTGGAGGAGATAAAGAAGGATGATAAGGTCCAGCCTCAGGAGTCTCCTCCGGTAAGTATAGAAGTTAACCTTCTAAGTAAATTGAAACTCTTGGTAGATGCTTGTTTCACTGTGATACTGTTTCCTTCGCAGGCAGTTGGTGAGAATGTAACCAAGCTGAAGAGTCTAGTGTTCAATGGCAAGTCGGATGAGATGAAAGAGAGCGGTGTGTCACAGGCTTCAGTCGATACTTTGGCAAGATTATTCCCCAACACGAAGCTCTCTGTGCTGCAGTTGGTGTTGCAGAGGTGTGGGCAGGACCTGTTGAAAGCGATAGAGTACTTTGCTAGTGACAGCCTTGGGGTTGGTTCGACTGCTTACACATCAGCCTTTCGGCCACCAGGTCAAAGTATCAGTGAAACCCGGCAGAGTGAGCAGCTCACTGGCTCCATGCTTGCCCCTATCTATTCTAACTTGTCCAGAGGGCTCTACAGTGACAGCTACTGCTTGCTGAACATCATTCCAGAGCAGCTTCCTAAGAGCATTATGACGGATGCAGCTACCTGCGCTGCATTGCCCATTAAGAATGGACAGCACGATCAAGATGGTGTAGCACTGAATGTTCAGTATAACAATTACTTCAATGCTGGACTGCAGCAACAGATCAGAGACCATGTTTATGCTCAGGTCACTGAACACCTACCGTCCAGAACAGGATTTCTTCATTTGCCACCTATGCTACCTGGGATGCCAGTCTGCATGCAACCAAACTGCACTCAGTGCACCTACAAGTTTCCTTGAGGCAGTGACTATTCATTTGTGCATTGGTCGTTTCGAGAATTGTTGGAATAGATATTGCAGAAGAACGAATGTAAAGGAAACCATGATTCTTATACATTACAGATTACCAAGAGAAAAGAACTATTAGCAATGTAGAATTCCTTACAACCAATGATGTTGCAGCCAACATATTATCCAACGATCGCTGCCGAGGCCTTTATTGATTTGCAGTTACTGAAATATCAAGAAAAGAATCTTTGGAAGAGTTTCATTAATTGTACTACAACCGTGCGGTGTTAGAATCAGTGGTACACGAGGGGTGAACAGAGTTTAATAAACATTTTAATGCTACCGCTAAAATTAGATTTGAAGATGAACATCCACTAGTTGTGCTGACAAGATTAGGCACAAGAAATCAGCCAGTAGCGTCAAGTTCCTAGATCACGGCGGTTAGACTGTTAAGCGTTATTGGCGTTATCATGTGTAAAATTTCCACGTGGGTTTAACAAGTTCGCTGGGAAACTGATATCATCAAGGGAATTTCCGTGATCGGCAGACCTTACTCTTCAAAGTTCAGCACAACAAGCTGGGATAAGCGAAGCGTGCCCCAGGCACGCATCACTTGCTCCGCTGACGGCCTTCCACTCTCTATCGATTGACCTTTGATCGTCGAGCGTGAAATAAAACTTGTTAGAATAATCCTCGATGACCGTCAAACTGCTAGTAGTCCATAACTCGTTTCCTTGCCCGGCCATTTTTATTTCTGTGAGGCGGAAAGGGTTAAAGAGTTTGAGTATACACGCTGCATCCCACGGAAATTATCGATTCCGCCAATACATAAAAATCCTTTGACGTTCTTTCATAGTAAACAAAACTGTACAACGAAAATTTTCAACAAATCTCATCGATTCCGTCTCAATATATACTTAACAATACCGGAACGATATTGAACTTTCAGCCTGAAGCTTCAGGCACATAAATAGTCCGGTTATATTTACACGTAGACGAATGCTTATGCGAGCTTGTATTTTTATAGTCCGATTTTTCTGGAAACATAGGGTTCCTCTATTAAGGATTCCAGTGTGCTGAAAATAGCGTAACATATATCTTCTCTTAAATGATGTATGGACTTTGCGATTCTCTGTTTTTTTATGCAGTCTTGGACACTGTTTATGTATAAACATCTGCAATCTATTTATATGTTATTTACTGCAGGTTGATAAATAACGCTGATCTCAAGGATATCGTTCCTTAAGAGAGATATCTCCTTCGGAAGGAGTTCCACTTGGTGGAAAAGTGGTGGAAAAGTTTCATGGAAGCTATCACAGTCCCTGAATTTAATAGGGCGTATGTAATCGAGTTAGGAAGATTCAATTGTCTGTATAAACACTGGGAGGATGTGGTCGGGCAACTGTTGATGCCCCGGGGTGGTTTACTTTGGTCAGGGAAAACTCGGTTCCCATCCAGCCCCTTGGGGATTCCGCAATCTGTCGTGCTTCGAATCGCGAGGAACTTAACACCGTGCCAAGAAATCTAATCCACTCGTTGAAATGAGAGTTGTATTTATTTCTTTTCTTTTTTATTCCTTCGTGGAGGGTGCGCTGTTCGCAGGGGGTACGAAATAAGGAAACGCATCGAATTACATGAATTAGTCGTTGATTTTTATTTGGTTCTTTAATAAACGCTCCACGAAATGTGAATAACAATTGTTTTATTTTGGTACGTATGCGATACGAATATACCAAAGATTATTGCAGTTACATCCCTACGTCATCATGTTTACCGTTAAAATAATCATTGGTTCTCTCAACAATGAGTGCATATCAATTCTGCGCTAAAATAAACATTTAAGAGTCATATTATGCTACATAAACGACGAATCAAAATATTGCGTAGAAACGAATCAAAAAAATTAATGATGTTGTACACGTGAACAGAGTGTGGGTGTGTCTATGTATGAATACGCAGGCAACGGGCCTCGCTTTTTTTTTCTCGCGATAGGTCACACATAAGACATTTTCGTGTTCTATAAATTTTATGTACACAGGCGTTAGACTCTGATCATTCGTATGTACAAATATTTGTTGTCTGGAAGCAGACACGTTGCTTCCGGAAGTCCTTCCCGTTGGTCTCGACGAAATTCGATTCAAAATCGAAGGTGTGGTTTGTTCTTGATCATATGCCTGTAAGAATTTTTATTTAAACGATTAGAAATATTTAATGTGTTATATATAAAAGAATGTGGAGAGTAACACGATACATGACATGGTATATGAACCACTTTAAGCAATGTATTGATTTCATCTATCCATACTTACTTGTCTAGATGTTCCCAGAATATCATCAATGCAGCCCTATCCAAATGCCTTTTCGTCCTACTCAATTCGATCACAGTCACAGCCCAACGAGCCACATTTGCATCCAACCTCATTTCGTCATATTTCAAATGAAATGCACAAACTGTAAGAGCAAAGGTACATGTTACTTATATTGGACAACACTAACTTGGTGTATATATTTATAATTTATTTATACCTACTTTTTGAAAAGATTTCAACAGGGTTGCCATCGAAAGGCCATCCTTTGAATTGCCAAGCTGGACCCATTACAAATACAGCAACAACCCTTTCCCAGTCTGCATTTGTTAGTTTCTGTGGATTATCCACTACCCTGTATGGCACTGTGAGTCCACCTTCCTTGCGTCGCTGCAGAAGAACCTCGTTTTCACGTTTAGTACCTTGTGCACGTTTTTCCTCATTGCTAAGATACTTTAGGTCCTGAAGTATGTCCTTTGCATTATACATTGTTATCAGTGATGTATTTGCACTTGGAATGATGATGATGGGAGTTCTACTAGGCCGCTTGTTTTGAGCTGCTTGCTGGGGAGTGAGTTTGGCAGCGGAAGTTGGTAGCAAACCAGAACTAGGAGCAGTGGAAGGGTTTGTTGGTGGTTTTCTGACTGCTGGATTAGTGCCTTCTGTCACTGACTTAAGGGTCATACCATGATAAGTACCCATTGTATCAATTTTAAATCCTTCTGTTTCTTCCTTTTGTCTGATAAACCTTTCCTGATCGTATCTATTATACACAGCTGGCTGCGGCAATGGACGCATAGGTGTGGATCTAGGAGTAACCATTGGTGTAGGAGCAGCAGGGCCTTTTTGTCTGCCCTCTTCACGAGCCTTAATACTTTGAAGAATTGCAAATATATTTTTGGCAAATATTTTTCCACTGCTCTGAAGAATAGTTGCACGTGTTCTCCACTGCCTCTCCCTGGAAACTATGTCCTTTGTGTCATCCACATCCATCAATATTACACGTAAGTCAGATCCCATTCCAATGTCGTCATTCTCCTTAATAGTAGTACGTTTCTTAGCTAAACGTTTGGCTTTTATAGCAGCAATCTTTTCAACAGACATTGCCTCAGAAAGGGATTTAATGTTGTCCACTGTGACAGAAGCCTCTTTAGGAGCATCCAATCGAGCTGCAAGTTGTTCTTTGACCTTCTGAACATGAGTTTCTTCAAAACGTGGTTTCTTTGAGGAACCACTTTCCAATCCATCTTCAGCTGTTCTTTTTACTTGCGTGGGGATCTCCAAGGGTGCAGATTTGTCTATGGCGGCTGAAGTAGCAGTTTCACCATTAAGGTAAGCCAATAAATCCTTTCTGTCAGGCCTACGTACAACAGGGATATTTTCTGCTGCTGCCTGACGCACATACACAGGATGTGTAAGTTGCACATGTTTCAGTAAAAATAACAGGCACTCTAGAGTATAATACTCCTTTGGTGTTCCTTCTTTGCCAGACCTGTAAGAAAACATATTGTGCAATCTCTTTTTTTCCTTCACACTACTACATGCATTATTTTCATAAGTTGCTCATGTGCCAAAAAAAAGATGACCATTCACAGTTATATACGCCGCGGTAAAAAAATAAAAAAAACATCATTAACCGCACAGGAATGTCACGTTAAAGAGGTGTTACGTTTTTATTTGTACAACCAAAACACACGGAGAGTAAACAGATTTTGAAAACGTCACGGAAGAAACGAAAATGAAAATAATTACTTTGGTCAGAAATATCTAGAAACGTTGATAAAGATTGCGAATACGTCGGTAATATTAATTTTCTTGTAGTTTGTTTATTTTCAGTGGTAGGGAGATGATGAGGCAGCAGACTGCCCAATGGTGGAACCATACCAGGTTACAGTTCGCGAGATTAACATTTAAATAATTGAAGAATTATTTACCCGTATGTCAAGTAGTTGGTTTTCACGTTCTTCGGCCAGGAAAATTCCCCGAAAATAATTTGATTTTCACGTTCAATTATTTCCTTTTTATTAACATTGTACTGCCGCAACAAGCTCAACGGATCCGCCATGGTTGCAAACTGAAGCGCTACTCGGTGTGGCACAGTGTGGCCAGATCGGGGAAATTGAGGGGAATACAGTTACCCTTTCCTTGGCGTTACGTACGATTCTGTGGGGGTTGAGGGGGTTTTTGGGGGGATGTCCGTTGATGAGGAATGGGGTAGTGGAAAGGATAAGGTAGAGTGGGAGAAAGACTTTCAGTGGGGTGAATGACAAGACTTGATCACAGATTTTAGGTTATTGCGTATCATAATATTTATTACTCGTTCAATCAAGTGAATTATGAATCAAATCAATTGTAACATGTGAGAGTTACAATCGTGAAGTGTAATATGACTGCTTACTGTGTATTGGGAAGACGAAACAAATTGTAAAACTGAATACTGAGTACAGTAAGAAATATAATGAACAATGATACATAATACAATATGATACAATAAAATACAATAAACAAAAAAATGCTCATAATGCATCACTGTTACTGTCATTCTCATCAGTTTCATCAGGAAGCAAGATTCCCCTCAATTCTGATGGGATTTCTTCTTTGTTATACATTTCATAATTAAAGCAATGTAATAATTGGTTAGATATTTTAAAGCTGCATGCATCAATGTGCTTTGATTGTAAGTGTAACTTAATTCGTGTCATGGCACAGATCATCTGTGTATCTAGCCTACATCTTTTTTTATTCTTTATATCTGTAATTGTGGAAAAAAATTTGTCCACATCTGCATTTGAATGTGGCAGTGAAAGACATAGAAATGCAAGTTTTGCAATTTCATCATATAACAAGTTGCCCAATTCATCTTTTAAATCACTTATAGTGTACCAAAATTCAATTGCTCCTAATGTTTGTAAATGTTTTTGTTCATTTTCAGTAGGTTTCATGGATAATAAAAACCACTGATCAGTCACTTTTGCAGTATTAAATATTGATGGATATTTTTTTAAAACAATTTCTATTTGGTCTGTATGCTTTTCATCATCAAGTGCTACTTTAGGATTTGTGAAATTCAAAGCAGCTAGAAATTTATCATTATGAGCAGTCTGAGAAAACTTCTGAACATTTTTATAAAATTCTATGATTTGTGTACTTGACTCTGGTTTATCTAGTTTATTGTCAATATACTGTGACATTAAAGACTTCTTGGCCTCTATCACAACATTGGCATTGTCCACACCTACCCCAATCATGTTACTAACAGATAAATTAAACCTATTTAAACTATGTAATATACATTTGTACATGTTTTCAGCAGTAGCCTCTTTTATTCTAATTAAATCTAACAACTGTGTTTCTAAATTTCGATTGTCTATAAATCTAACTAAAATACTTAAACTCTTAACATTTGTATTATCTGTACTTTCATTAATTATAAGAGAAAAATATTTCTCTTTCAACATTTCCTTTATATCTAAAATTAAAGACTTATTAATTACATTCTTAATGATAGCTCTTATTTTAGTCCTTCCTAATTTAATACATTGCATTAACGGTAGTTTTGAAGCTATAATTTTATTTAATTTACTTAAAGCTTGAAACATTTGGAAGTTAACATTGTGTTCGACTGCAAATAAACAGTACCTAATTTCTGCTTCCTTAATCTCATTTTTGGAAACTTGTGGAGCTGAACTCGTACCTGCTCCTTCCATCTTTTTATGTACATTCATCTTGTGATGTAGGCTATTTGCATGTTTCTTTAAACCAATCTTCCCAATGCTGGTTTTTAAATGAGTCTCACATATGGCACACCATGCATGCTCGTCTTCTCGTTTTCTCAACCACGTAGACATTTCTGGATCTCTTAGCCACTTTTCTAGAAGTCGTGGCTTTTTAAATGGTGGAATACCACTGCTGCTACTGCTGCTGTTGTGACTGATGATATCTTGATCAGTTTCTATATATAGAAAATATTCATTACTTTTATATATCCTAGATAACTATTCTTTTACTTATTATTATTTATTTACTTCCTATCTGTAGGTTTCAGGGGATATTCTTTTAGTTACGAATACTAAATACTTGACTTACCTAATTTCTCACTCATTGTTGAAATTAAAGAAAATTTGTTTTCACTTTTAGAGCACTTCGTTCTCAAAATATGATTGCCAAATGCAGTATAATTCAAAACAAATAATACGATACTACCGTCACCGCTACTGAAGCCAGAAAACAACGGAATGGTTTTTTCTTCCCACTCCGCCTTACCCCTTCCACTATTCCATTCCTCATAAGATCAAGAAGAGGGTAACTTTATTCTCCTCAATTTCCCCTATCTGGTCACCGCCAAATGTCCCCTGATATGAGTCGCGCTGCACGTCACGTGATCAGTCTACGGTTTTAAATAGTAGGGGTTGTTCCAAGTGAAGAAAAGAAACCATTTCGTTGCTTTCTGGCTTCACTGGTGTGGCCACGCTACTTTACCCTTTAACATACTTGTCTCCCACTCTATTTTACCCCTTCTACGCTATGTCGTGCACGTGTCACAATGGTAACTCATGCAGTAATAAGAGGAAGGGTAACACCCCTTTAGTTTCCCCTATTTTGCCATACTGGCGCCACCTCTGGGTTGATTTAACGTACCAAAAAGTAAATCATCATTCACACGGTGCGTACACGTTAATTCTGATTTTAAAGATCGACTTGTGCACTGCCTTTAACGTTGCGCCTTGATTGCGTCGCGACGCCGACGACGTTGAATTATTCCAAAAATATTTACATTTTCACTTGAATATCTTGCTGTATTTTTCTTCACTTAAATAACTCTACTTTTATGTTTGATTTTCTCTGTTTATATCAAAGTCGCGTCAGTCTCACTGTAGCGCTGCTCTGTTTACGTTTTCAGCGAAATAGCGGCGAGGAATCAGCTGTTGTGTCAGATACTCGAAATTTCTTTTCGCAAGGTACTTGGATTGTATCAGTATAATCGTGCATGTACTTTCGGTGAATCGTTTGTTTATCCTAACTGTCGATGCTGATTACGAAAGAACAATGAGCTTCCCGGAGAAACAAGATAATATATCAAAAGATGAGTGGATGGCCAAGTTGGAGGAAAATTCCCATACACAACGGGTTTCTATGAATAATTTGATTATGAATTATTTCGTTACAGGTTAGTCTCTCTCTCTCTCTCTCTCTCTCTCTCTCTTGATATTTCTCTCTAGTCTCTAATTCTTTGCATTATAGTTTTTAAGATCGTAGATCTATTCAGTGAATTATTTTATAGAAGGTTTTAAAGAAGCAGCAGAAAAGTTCCAGCAGGAATCTGGAGTTGAGCCTACCGTAGAGTTAAGCTCTATGGATGATAGAATTCGTATTAGGGATGCTATTCAAAATGGCCGTATTCAGGAGGCAATTGATCTTGTGAACCAGTTACATCCAGAGTTATTGGATAACGATAGATACTTGTATTTCCACCTGCAGCAGTTGCATCTTATAGAGTTGATTCGTACAGGTAGAATCGAGGAGGCATTGCAATTTGCTCAGGACCGTCTGAGCGAAGCCGGTGAATCTGATGACAATATTTTATGCGAATTGGAGCGTACTCTAGCTTTATTGGCATTTGATGAGCCTCATAAGAGTCCTTTCAGTGATCTTTTACATCCGACTCATAGACAAAAGGTATTAATTAGTTAACATCTAAGTTAGATGATATTCTCATTAAAGTTTCTTATACAACTGTAGATAGCAAGTGAATTGAATGCAGCCATTCTGAAGATGGAGCGTAGAGAATCCACTATTCCACGATTAAATAATCTGCTTAAAACGATACTTTGGACACAGGATGAGTTGGATAAGAAGAAAGTGAAATATCCTAAAATGACTGACCTAGGTAGTGCCACCATTGAGAGTCCAAAGTAATTTGACCTGGACACATTACAAATTGATATCCATGTATTTATTAGTATGAGAAAAGGATGCGTGATTGTACTATATTAGTGATTTATATGTGAATAGGATATAGGGGTAAAATAGAGACTCAGTTTTAATGTAATCTCACCATAGTAGCAACAATTGTTTATTCTTAATGAAAAATATGTATAAAGTTACAATCATATAATACATTCGAAATAGGAGAGAGGAATTTGCTAATTATAAAGACAGTGTCTACTGTGTACTGATAATTTGTTGCATATAACTGATCTTTTGTATAATACTGATAAGGCAATGAAAATTTACTGGTACATAATAAATCGAACCATTTTAATATCCGTGCAATACACGTGGTTCAGAGCTACAGAATTATTTCTAAGTTAAACACAGTATAATATAGAAACATAACATGTATACAGTGGTATGTAGAGTAAGTGTAAAAAAATATGATAGAATTGTAGCTTAATAATAACATTGTGTGATAATTATTTGATGTTTATAAAGATTTATATTTCTTACTATTTAGGTAGTAAAAATACAGTAAGTAAACAATTTTTTTTAGGGTCCTTAACTATTCCTCTCTCAAATTAGTCATTATCCATTATATTTAATTTTTATGAAGCTAAGCGAATTATAATTAAATCGTATTTGTCATTAGTGAATATCCACAATTCTGTTCATTAAAAGTTACCATCCGAACATATATTCCATTGCTTTAGAAACTAGACCAGTGGATTTTTGTGGTACATTCTCCGTCGATTTCACTGACTGAGGACTAAGATGCTGATAGTAACCAGCTGCCAAAGGTCTTGCAGTTTGTATTTTAATTGGTGTACATGGAGTACTGTACTCTGGGGATTGATTAATTTTTCCAAAGTTGGAGAAACATTTTATACTTCCATTCATTTTCGATTGATTCTCTTTATCAGAACCCAATATAACACCTTCATCTGTACAGGGAATTACACCAATCATAATTGATCCAGAGACAACATTCCCATTGCATGCAAGAGCTCTTTGAGCTTCTTGTTCCGAGGCACATTTTAAATGTATCCAATTACTTTGCGGATGGGGAGCTGCGTGTTTGTCCACTATGCGAACTCTAGTTGAAATATGAGCTAGAACAGTATTTATGTCACTAGGGGGAAAACCAAAAACAGTCACCCATTGCAAAAGCCCTTGCGATTCATTTGCGTTTGGGTTCAATGGACTATCATTGAATATAGAATTATTCATAGAGTTCATTAATAGCCTAGATTGATTATGAGGAATGCTCTGATTTACAGTTGATATATATGGTGATGCTGTTTGCGATGAATCCAATGTATCAAATAGTCCTCTAGTTGGTGGTCCACCGGTATGATTCATTGTGCCTATTTGGGAAGTATTTGGCGTATTGCTACTACCGAATACTGCTTTCTGTCGATTGGAACGGTAATCTGGGGTACCATAGTGCGATAATGGAGATAATGGAGATGTTATATTGTTATGTCCGATGTGCAATTGTTTAGGAGTGTCCTGAGGAACTATTAGGTTTACTTTGGCTGGCTGAAAAGTAAATAAAAATGTATGTAACCAATAATTAGCACAATATAATCTAACAGCATTTACTATACTTACTATTGTTGTATCTCCCAGTAGGAAATTTGGAAGGTACCCAGGAGCTGACGGACTTCCAGGTGTTTGTACAGGACTTCCAACTGGTGATCCTAGTGTCATTGGTTCCATCTATAAAACCGTATATCATTTACTGTATGTCTTAAACAAGAATTTATTTCACTAACATCCAAATTTTATAGATAAAACGTTATTACGACTATAGAGGTTATAATTTTAGATCACTGAACATTCACGTAATATCTATACAAATAACAAACTAATGAAACAGATAAATAATATCGTTTACCATTTATCCTATCTATTTAAAAAATACGAAATATTCTAAATTCAACGTGTCACCGCTAAATATTCACAGCCTTGTTCAGACGTTCAAGATTTAAATAACGACTAGTGCACAAGTTCAACCGATAGATGGCGATCAGATCTTTAAACGAGTCAAATTGGTTGATGATTTAATAATCAAGAAACAACGGATTTCCATTGTCTAAAGCAGCAGGTTTGAATTTTCTTTTAATTATATTTCATTAATTATCTATTTTTCATCTACTTTAAAAATTACTTTCAAAATTACGTTACAAGAGTGCGATTTTACTTTCAGTTTCTTTTTGGCGTCCATGTTTGAAGCGTGAAATAGGAGGGAAAGTGTCGCACGAGTTGAATTTGAAATGACGCGTCAGCAAATTGATTTGCTTCTTCTTTAAAAGTTATAAGTTAGAGAAATCCCTCCTTCAGAGGGATTTTGAAGTGTCACTCAACAATAGGGATTATAAAGGTCAGTATTGTTCCATTTGTCAGCAGAAAAGTAGCTTTTGGTCAAAAAAGTAGGGTTCGGTAGAAACACGAACGAAATAATGCGAGACTGAAGGATTTGTCCGGATAAAAGTTTATTTGGTCATTTGTAGAATTTCCTGGTATCTCAAAAAATTATTGAAAAGTCAAGTTCCTCGAAATCATTAAGGACACCGCCAAATCCGCCTACCCTGCAAGTAAGTACTTACCTATTTACTCGTCATTGTTCTGTGTTAGAACATTAAAGGCATCGCTGTAAATAATAGATTCGAGCCTTTTTCAATTTTTGTTATACAATACGTATTAAGAAACCTCGAAAAACTCAAATCCATCACTTATAGTGATGACTTCATCATCGCCAGTTTCGAATACCTCTCTTCGTTCGTAAGACATATTTTTTTGGAAGAACGTATTTGGAAAATTATTTTTTCCATTTTTATTAGCGTTCCGTGTAATTAATTATTTATTGGTGAAAGGTCAAGGAGTAGACGGGGGGACGTATTATAATAGTGAATTTTAATAACGATGAAAATTATGTACATATTTACAAGTTCGCAAAAAACGGTCACGTGACACGAATATCGAGATTTAGACCTACGCGAGAAACGGATTTCATTTCAGTGTCGATTCGACCGTCGACGAATATTCCTGCGTGTGTGATTTCTGTTGGTTTTCTTTCCTTCGCATACGATTACACTCGGTCAAAGTATATTCGAAGAAGAAAGGACAGGTACGGAACAGTAATAACACGGTGTAAACAAGCAACGAATAAAATTCCAGCAATAAGCAATGATATTGTCAACAACGAACGATTAACAAACTTTCTTGTGACATGGTTCGACGCGGGAAGACAATAATAAATTCATAGGTTAGAATCGAGACGTAAATATCGAATAAATTATTTCATCGTACAGCGTGTCTAATTTGAGTTGAAATTAAATTTCTTTGAACACAAGAGAGTATCTCGTTTAGAAATACGTCTAACGATTTCACAAGAAAGATCCGTTTCAAATGAAACAATTTCCCGCCATTTTCAGGCCGGACAACGCTGCAGCCTAACCTATGGTAAAAAGTTTGCACAGCAACATACACTGAGGACGCGTAATGGAAAAGCGAGAACGTTTCGTTTTTCTTCATTTTTTTTTTCTTCGAAACGACGACACAACGATGCAACACTCTTAACCATTAATTCCTGTTTGGAAGTGTTCTCTCGGTAATGTCTTTCAATTCCTTGGACTCCTATGTATGGAAGCAGGTCACTTCCGGGGGAAAACGACATTGGACTCATTGTTGCAATTAAAATTATTTTGCGCGAGATACAACTCGGCGTCGGATATCGTTATTACGTTTTGAAATAATTAGGAGCTAGACGAAACATTTGTTGGTATTTAAATGATGCTGTCAGTGGCGAATTTAATGATGGGCCACTTGGGACCTACAAAATCCTAAGCCAAGATATTAAAATATTATTCATACTTGATTTGCATAATAGTTTCTTAATTGAACTTAAATTGAACTTTAATTGAACATTTTGCGTATAGAATTGCATCATTTTTTGTATACCATATAAATAATTAAAATATAAAACTACTGTTATTTGTATTGTTCTTATAGTTTTTCATTAAATGACTAGTTCAGTTAAAAAACTGAAACCTAAAATTTAGTCATTACACATACGCATTGTTATGGATTTTATAAATGGCACTGATAAATGAAAAAAAAGCAATATAAGGTTCATTTTAGTTCTACTATTGAAATTCATCACTGAATGCTGTAATTAACACTTAGCCAACCAAAATGAGATTTCCCGTGTTTCTTTTAACAACGCATTGCCGTGTATTTTGTTTATTTTTTTTCTTATTTAATAAGCATTGAATTAAGAATATTTGCAATTAATTAAATACTTTCCTGGCTTTTGTAAGATATAATATGGAATCTCTTAAATAAGTTCAATGAAAGTTAATGAGAAAAGTTATAGTTTCTCTTCTCAGGTGGTTGCTAAGTGTTAAGTCTGATAAGAGTATCATTAAGTAAACGCGTTCGATATCCGGCATCGTTAAGAAGGAAACAATGTGGTACACGAAATGGTAGGTCCGCCCTTATAAAATCTTAGTAAAAAATAATACGCGTATATACGGTGTTCTGATAAAGTAACAAGAACATTGTGCGATTCATTGCTGAAACGTATATCGGACGACTTAACGTAGACACGCACGGAGAGACGGATTCATGCTTCCTCTGCGATTCTCTGCGTCCTCGTATCTTCTCGTTTTTCATTAACGTTTCGCATATTATCTTTTCCAGGTCACTCATTCTCTCTCTCGGTTAATCCCACGGATATGTTTGAAACGAGACCTTCCTTTTCCACGCGAGAATACATTTAGAGCCTAGAACATACTTTGGTTTAGTGGCAATGGCGGATCCACGAGCATCGATTTCCCATCGACAAATGAGGACGAAACAGTGAAGTATATCATTTTTCTCATAATGTGTCAGTGCTGTATGTAGTCTAAGCTCTGCAGCATGTCCCCTTTCATTCTCCATCGAATTGCTCCTATTTCATCATTATTGGTTCAATACCATCAATCACCTTAACACGTTCAATGGTCTCCTTAATTATAATATTTTCTTCAATCCAATAAATCTCCTAAACAAAATATTAGAAAAATGAAACTGAAACGTGTCATTGAGTTCCTAAATATAATGTAGTTCAGAATTCCTAATAACAATATCCATAGGATTAATTTCATTCTCATTATGTAAAATACAGGATTACGGCCGTCATAAATATGTGACGCTGATAGCGAACGTATTAATTTAACTGTAGCCCTCTGTCTTCCAATCGCTGCAGAGCTTTCGCTATTCTCCCGTTGTCTCCATGGTAAAAATTGTAAAAAAGTGCTTTTGCTTTGTCAGTGAGCATTGCCACGGCGTAGACCACCGGGTGAGGAGCTACGCGAAACGAAGAGTCCGCAGGATGCTGGGGATAAACGAAGATTTGATGGATCCGCCAATGGTTTGTACGCAAGGCGACGCGGCCGGACGTCAGCCAGTCTTACCATGTTTTATCGATATGATATTTAATTACGGTTACGCGGCTTAACTGTTAGTATTTAGATACGATGGGAACGAGATCTCCTAGCGTGCTTGTCTTACACTCGTAGGAAGCGACGTTGGATAGTGCGTTATTATCGGACGAGGACGATCCAGGTGATTGGGACCACGATCGTCATCCAGGTCGGCGTCGTTGCGGTTCCTGACTGGCTCCCTGGAATTCAAAGGAGAAAGGGGTGAGCTGCTCCAAGGTTCTAGAAGACCGAGGGTCGTGGCCCTTAGGGTGGCATGGATGAAAGAAGGGAAAACAGAAAGGAATCCTCGCGCCGCGCACCGGTTAATGGAAACTCACCGTTGGTTAAATCGTTACGAGTGTGGCTTTGCGCCCTGGTCTCGCGGCTCTCCATTACAGGGGCTTTCAGGATCCTCTCGTCCCCCTCCACGCTCTCCTCATTGCTCCGCCGGTAGACGTTCGCTATAGACGCCAAGCACTTTAGCTTCATGTCGCCCCGCTTGAAGTGTTTGTTGGCGAGACGGAACTCCAAGCCCAATACCGCGGTCTCCAGGCCCTTCTCGTCCACCGCGGTTATGTGCGGTCCCGTCAGGTACTGGGTATCAGCCTGAAAGACGACTATTGTTACTCGTAATAGTCGGTGGCAGAGGGCAGACTCTCGCTCCTTCACTCAGGGGAGGGATTGTCCCGCCGTCAAGCGAACCAGTTCGCGGTCAGTTGTTTGACTGTCGGCTGAAACGCGATTACGGCACACTTTGTTGCGCGCCAACCCTTTTTAGCCCGGCGACCTTTGTCCGCCCTATTTTCGAGAGCCTCGCTGAATCCGCCGTTTACCGTCCCAATTGGCTGAACAGATGGAAATTGTTTCCCTTAGACCGTGCGCGCGTCCTTCCCTTTGTGCGGTGGTATTTTTAAAAGGGTGAAGGGCGATAAGAGTCCGTGTAACGCAAAGCTGCGCGGTGCACGCAAAGTCACGGTAAAGTCTTTCAAGACTCCCAGAAACCCTTTCCGAACCCTTCGCAAGCTTTCAAGACCTTTCAGGATTTTCTCCAGGCTTCCAACTTCTTTCAGGATTTGTCGAGTCCCCGAAGAACATCGATAACTTTGGGAATTAATGAAAAAAACCAACCTCGAAGATCTCGTCGGAACTGTTATGATCCTACAGGCGCGCAAGAGCCGCAAGGCGTTCACGGTGTTTTAATTGAAACGCTAATTGATGATAGAAGCCCGAGCTTCTCAATCAACATGCAACAGAGTTGCCACCAGGAAGATATTTGCGTGCATATTGTCGAGCTCTTACCGTTTCTCCGTTGATGAACCAAGTCAATAGGGCGGCGGGTTTCGAGGGCGCGGACGTGCAGTTCATACGGAAAACGTCGCCTATTTGGTAACCCGCGCTGCCGCCGGTTATTCGTGGGCCCTCGTCAGGGAGTACTGTAAGAACACAACATATTCTCTCTCGTTTATCCTCTAACTGGTATCCAAATACAGGAGAAATATTTTTCAGAGCTGAATTCGAAATACTCGGGAAGTTTGCCCTCACCTACTACCATCATGTCTGCGTGGCCCGAAACGGTTGGGAACGCGGGAGCTTCGGCGGACACCTCGCAACGATACCGCCCCGAGCTAGTCAGGTTGACGGACTTCAGCACCACCGATTTCTCCGTAGAATTGTGAATCTGAAAACCAAGCACGATCGACTCTCGGGACTGAATCAATCTGCGTCTGCCAGGGAACACTCACATTCACGTTGACCCCGGGCACGCGGAACGTCTGTACCGTGGGCGCGTCCCTAGGTACGTAACGATAGAACTCGTGGCCATCTTTGTACCATTTCACTGAGTACAGTAACTCCTGGTCCAGGTCGAAGTTGCACTGCATACGGACCGTCTCATTCAGCACCACGTGCTGCGGTATCTGCAGGGACGTCATACGAAGGGCCACGACACCTAGAGGAATCGTGCTATTTTTATTTTGAACAGTTTGGTGGTATTATCTACTTGCCAGTGTGGTGCTCCGTTCGACACGAGTTTCCTGTCTCTACGTATACCCCAACAGTTACGGCCTAATTATTCACCTGATTGCTCATGTAAGTGACTCATTAACACAGCGGTTTCCAACCTTTATGCTGCTACGCCTCTCTAAAAAAAATTCTTTTTCCGCGCCTCCCCATCTCTTAATAGATATAGTAATATAGACACGTTTTAAATAACTTTATCACAAAGTAAACATTACTTCACTGAATCTATACTAGTACGATATGTTTATTTATTTGTAGATATGGTATGAACATTAATCTTTTATTAAAAATTCTGGCGCCTCTCAGGTTGGAAACCGCGGCATTGACAGCTAATGTATTTTCTCTTTTTATACTTTTTTAATCTTTTCTTTCATTTTTACAGTATCTCTTCCATTTCGAAAAGCTGTTCGACTAGATGCTGTTATTCTATTTGGCCAAGGTAAGCTTCGTCTGATCAGTGAACGAGTTGTTCTACTTGAATAATCTACGTTAACAGGTTTTTCCTTTTGATTCTCAGGAAATGGTTCTGGTCGCATTAATCAACGACGCAGAGGTAAAGCATTCGTTGGAAGGAAGCACGGCACGCTCTTGACGAAGTATGCCCGGAAAATGGTAAGTTAGTTCTACTTGTTTCAATGTTCACGAACGGAACTTGCGTAAAACGGTTTTCGTTCCGTGCAACAATGCTTTTAAAGGGTATAAGGAGCGGCAATTTAAGCATGCTTCACTGCATTCGGACTCATTCTACTTCGTATTCGTAACTTCGTAACGTGGCTTCAGTGGATGTCCAACTATACACCGGAGTCGTTCTACTTTTCATTGTACGCTTCTCGAGAAACTTTGCTTTTTTCTCGCCGGGTGTAATACTCTCTCGATAGAGGACCATTGACAGTGGCCTGTCTGACCATACACTGGACCCTTCCACTTGCTATTTTTATTTTGCGCGGTTTTCCTTTCATGGAGTCGGGATACGGAACAGGTTGGACTGTGGATATCAGTATCATTCACTGGCAAACTATAAAGTTTACCATCGTTTTGCACAGTCTTATAGGAAATATTTTGTTAAACAATTAAACATAATTTCTATATCAAGTTAGGGATTATTGTTATTATATTTCTATAGCTTCTAAATTTTCTCCCTAATTTTTTAAATCTTTTGTAAAACACAGTGAACTACATAGTTTCTAAACGCTTAAAAACTTCTTCACTGTTGAATTTACTAATTTACTCGTATGCAATTAATATTCATCAATCCAAGTATAAGTAATACATAATTAATATTACTATTATTATTACAGAATCAGTATATTATTATTTACTATACCACGCACTAATTTTGACACTGACCTCAGTGCAAACCAAAAAATTAACAAACTCTTCCCAACTAATAAACTCCCACTCCTCATACAGTTTACATACCAATAGTTAATACTGGTATTAACATATCCCACAACATATTAACCACTGCATTCTAATTACAACACCGTCCCATAGCTCGAACGGTGTTCCAACCGGCACATCCGAATTAAACCGAAAAGCAAATTGGGCCGAGCCGTGAGTCGAAAGAA